GCTGTCGTATTCTATAGATATTTAGTGATAGAAGTTTGGTTTGAATGTCTTTTGGCTTTAAATAGTTGAGACTTGGCTTCAGGTGTGAGTTGATGTAACACTGATGATACCCTAAAAGAAACTAAACACCTGTTCAGAGTAAACCTGCCAAGTCCCTTCACTTCTGTAGTTTTAAGATGTTAAGGCTTTGAAATGTAGCTGAACGTTCTGCTTCTTTAAAGTCTACACAAGAAATCAAAAATTGATTTTTGTTTTATTTTCTTTCAAAGTCTTTCATAGAATCTAGCTATTACAGGAAAATGACATGAACATTCAAAGTAGTACTACAAATACCAGGCTTATGTAAGGGTTTGATCTTTTGCATTTTGTATACAAGGATAATAATTCAATCAAACATTAATTGTTTCAACACATTGAAAGAAGCCTGAAAAAAGGGTTTTGAGACTCCAGTTTAAAGATTTCAGATTGTTGTATGCTGATAATATTAAATATCTTAATCCTGTCTAAAATAGAAATGTATTTTTATATGAGATTGTAGTTAGTGTAACTGAGACTGTTTCGTTTTCTCTTCCAATTTCTGATGGAAAAAATACCTATTAAATGTGATCTCTAAAACTTGTACTGATATTTGCACAATCTACATATAAATGAAATATCACTGGACTTCTAAGAGAGCCATTTAAACTAGTCGGTGATTCATCTTCTGAGCAAGGTGAATCTTTTTCTTTCTAGGAGTCAAATCTTTAAATACTGTCTCACTGCCTATATGGGGTTAGATTCTTCTACAGTGAATGCACTGAATAGCAGTCAACTAAACTATTGAATGTATTCTATCCTAATATTTAATATTTTTTTATTACAGATATTGTTTTCTCCCTATTTACTATTAGCCACAGTGATTTAACTAAGTTACTAAAAGTACTTTTAAAAGTATTTGAAAGAGAAAAGGGTAGTGTCATTATGAGTCTTTAGAAGCGTTAAAATACACGAAGACAGTTGCTGGAGTTAGTGCCAGTATCAGGAGCAAAGGCTAGAGATGGCAGAACTTAGCAAAGAGATCAACTACAAAGTGCAGTAGGTTTACCTTGTCTAGCTGCCAGATTCCTATCCCACATCTCTTGTGTGGGATGGGAACAAGAAATGATATAGAAAACTTCATGGGTTAAATTTGAGAGGTCAATTACAAGCAAAAAAAATAAAAATAAAAAAAATGGACATGGTATAAATTAATTTACTTTCACTTGTAATAAATTTGGATGGTTAGAAACAATGATAAAACTGAAACACCTTTCCTTCACCCCTTGCTTTTTTTTTTTTTTGCTTTTTCACAGGCTCAGCTTCACTTTTCCATCCCCAGCTCCTCTACCTCCTCCCTCTCAACTGTGATCTGTGCAAAGGAGTGGAGAAGTGGGGGCTGTTGTCAGTCCATAACAGCACCTTTCTGCCTCTTCCTCCTCCTCAACATGATTCTTACTGCATATTTTACCCTTCCGGAGACCATACAGCTATAACACTGGGAAAGCTTTCATAATTTCCAATAGGTATTTTTTTACAATGAGCAAATAGTTTTATTGCTTTATTTCACATTTTACATGATAAGAAAAGATAAACTTTGTGACATGTCTATTTCTCCTTCTGCTGGGATCTGACATTTTTGGACCTGCTTTTGTGTATCTGAATAGATTTCTAGAAATTACTTTGCTGACAGAACTTGACAGGTAAAAATGTGAAGCCCTATCTATCAAATACGACATTTCAAATGATTACACTTTCAAATGCCATCTCTCTATAATAAGCAATTTCCAGTTTTATTTATACCATGCCTACATTGTTTTGAAACGCATTATCTCATCTTTTTATCATGGTTTTGTTAATCCTGTTATTGATATTCCACACCATAACATCATGTAGTGAACTGGGGGTTAAAGAGTTAATGTTCCAGTACCATAGACTGTTGATAGTTCCAGGTATACCTTTCTCTGAAGAAAAGAGCTACATATCCCAGAAGACATCACTGTTTCATTTCCATGGGAAAGATTAAACTGGGAGTTATGAGACTGTGCCTTTCTTTTGTTTTTTTTTTTTATTATTATCCCTGTGGTGTGTGCTCTCTAGCCATCTCACCTTTAGCACTAGAGTGAGGCCTTCAGGTTTTTTGAACATGCTCTCTCTCATTTTATTTATTAGCTTCAGTTTCCAGTTATACTGTACTATATTGTTTTACCTCATATTTCACTATCATATCTAGTAAATTAATTTTCACCTTTAGCTCACTGCCACTGTTTTGTTTTTAGGTTCATCTCAGGGCTTGGGTCTGTGGATCTCTCCATTCCATTTAGTCACAAAACAAAGACAAACCAGGTCAGAATTGTGAAACTTGTTTAATTTTTGGGGGGGATGACTGGCAGGGAGGCCAGGGTATACTTCCAGTGGTTGCTGATATCCATGTGACTGACATAAATTGGCAAATCACAGATTGGATAGATCTCCAGTGGTCACTGACATCCATGTTACTGACACAGACTGGCACACTGCTGTGCTGCCAATTAGTTTGGCAGAAATATGAACAAAAAATGTGTAAGTTAGGAAGAATGCTTTGTTCTTTCTACCTTTACTTCCTTCCCCTTGGAAGACAAACACCAACTTGATATTAGCGTTTGCGTTCTGAAGTATCTCCTGCCCCTCCACCCTGATCTAGCCCCTTGCAGGGGGACATTAGTGGGTACTATCTGTCCAGTTGGCTTATGGAGTCTGACAAATGCACTGCAGATTTCTGCAGTTCTCTGACATACCTGCTCTTTCTGCTTCTTCTCAGAACTGCTATATAAATTAAAAGTCAAATCCAGTCTTAATTCCTTCAGTTGTAATAATGAGGTTCAGTTTCTATTAGATTAGCATTTTTCCATTTCTGAGGAATTTCCACTGTATCTCTGTCTAAATAACAAGATTTGCCAAATGCTGTTTTCCTTTACTTCATTGTAAAAACAAAACAATAACCTTGAAGGTAAGAATCAGTGAATAGCTATATCCTAATTAACCATCCTCTTGATATCGATAGCCCTTTAGAAATATCTTACGTATCTGGGGTTAGTATAATGTATAGTATGGCTACTTCTAATTCATATCTTTCTAAATAGCTAACTAGTCAATCCTAAGTTAATAATTTGTTTTCAATTTGTTGTTTCTAGTATTTGAATCTTGAAGTATTCTAATTGTGTTCATCATTAAATATTAAATTAAATAAAAACAAACAATATTAAATAGTAAAAAATTGCTATATGGAAATGTGGAAAAAAAATGAAATGATAAGGATAGTAATATTTGATTCTCTTTCTGAAAACAAGCAAACAAGGAAAAAAAACCACCAGTATAACTTCTTACCAAGAAAAATAGAAAAGTTTTCTCTTTTTGTACACAAAGAACTGAGACAGTGTTAAGCTTGAAGTTGAGCTATTAAGCAGCTACAGGTCCTTTTCTCATTTTGGTTGCTTCCCTAGTGTCAGCCCCTATGTTTGTACCTCTGGATGATATTCTACAATTCATCCCTCCTTTTCAACTATGTGTTCAAGTGACAATAGTACTCTTTAGAAAACTGTATCACATTTTCAGGTCCAAAGCTGTTGAGCTGCCTTAATGGATTTCCCATTTGTAGTATGTGACCTGTTAAAATTGTGGTGACTTGGGAGATCCTCTTCAAAACAAAATATTTACCTGTCATAACATAAATACAAAGGAAAACAGATAAAACAGCATGACATCAATCAAAAAAAAAATTTCTTCACTTTAGTTCACCTTATCTTCTGTACCAGTGATTTTTTTTTTTAACTTCTTTATTTCTCTTTCTAAATAATCAATATGTTCTAAGTCCTGTCACACTCCTATGGTTTGTCCTACAGGACAAATGACCCTCTCCTGAGTTGCCCAGACCTTATCCAATTATTTACTTAGTTCTGACAATTTTTTCAGAGTTAAGATCCTCTGTCACTTCCTCTGGGGCATACAGAAGAGGCTCAAATGAGCACAGTGTAAGCTAATAATACTGAATCTTAAGACTTAAACAATGGTCTTGTTACTTTAAATATAATGTTCTCTGGCTGTGAAAGAACACAGGAAAACACAACACAATTAGAGCAAAAAATTTGTGGGATAATATTACGGAAATATGTGGCAAGCCAGATTTTGGGTTTGGTTTGAAATGTCCTTTTCTGTGAAGTGGGACAAGCACTAAATTTCCACAAAGATCTCAGGATCAATAGTCTCAAAGCTGCCCGTTGTAGTGCAGTCATTTTGAGCAGAGTGGTTTAATGTCCGGTTATTTTGCATTTCAGTATAGGACTCAGCCTAGACTTCACGGAAGATGACTATTCTTATTGTCTTTGATATCTCAGTCAATAGAAATTATGCTGCAATCCCTCTGCCATCCTTTTGCTTTACTTTGCATGAGAGTAGGAGAAAATTTTCCAAAATATGTTGTCCACTGAATACTGGAGCAAATGAGATATTTGGCTACAGGTGCCAATAATAAGCTATGAATTTCGGACCACTGAATTGATAATATGATAGTTATGACAATGGGTAGAGTTACCATAACCTATCTGTTGGAAATAAGACTGGTTAGAAATCAGTCTCTTACTAAAAGAAATAATGTGGAAATAATTAGAATAATAATAAGAAATATAAGAAATAATAAGAAATAAATAAGAAATAATATCAGAAATAATCTGCTCTATTATGTGACACTTGTGTATATTACATGGAAAAATAACAATGCAAAATATGTCCTTTCTCCTTAACCAAATGCATTCACTATATATATGTGTATGGGAACTGCTGAGTCATGGCCTGAACCTCTGATTGATCACCTGAGGCGAGCCATGAGTCAGCCAAAGGAGCACAGGTGAAGACAATTCACCTCTGCTGCTGGAAGGGGTGGAGCCAGGCTCCACCTCTCCTGGACCTATTTAAGAGCTGGCTACCAGAGGGGAAGGATCTCTTCTGGAGATCACCCCTCTTGGTGTTTTCTGGTGAGCTCAGCCGAAGGGTAAGCTCTTCCACTAATTCTCTTTTGTGATCATTGTTTACTTTGCCTAATTCTCTTGATTATATTGTAATCATAACACCTTGATATCTATTGATTATACAATTATATTGTAATTATAACATCTTGATTATACAATATGTATATATGTACTATATACATATGTATAATTGTTTCAATCCTAGATGTAATAATTTGTGTTATTTTATACTAAAGAGTGATTTTGTTAAAGTTTGTTATAGTAACATTGAAAAGTAGGGGCATTTTCTATTTGCAGTACAAAATGGGACAAAGGTCTCATCCTAAACAGAACCAAGTTGTGGGAATTTTTTTTCGAGGAAAAAAAATGCTGTGTACTTCAGTATTCAGAACAAATGTGTTCAGTTTCCAATTCTGTTGTGCTGTGTTGCAAATTCCTTTAGAATAACATCCTACAACCTGATTCATTGCCTTAATTTTAGTTTTAAACTCAGCGCTGGAAAAGTTCAGATCCTTTTCTCATAGGAGTTTTCAAAAGAATTAATTAAAATATAATGAAATAAAGGGAGCGGTTGAATGGATTTCTGAACTAGTTTCATTTTTACTAGGGAAAAAAAACCTGTCAGGGTACAAATAGTAAGTTTGAAGGGACTGGCAGCAATGTAGGAGAGTTCTGTGAACTATGCTAATTCATTTAGCTACAGGAGGCAGTACATCAGAGGCTATATAGCTGAACCAATTTTTCCAAAGAGCCAATTTCTTCTGAGATGAGGGAAAAAAAAAATGGCTTTATAAACATCTCATGAGAAATTCACCATCACAGAGTTTAAAACCAGTAGTTCATTCTGTACTGTGGTGTGTTTTTCCCCATGGAGGGGAGGTGGACGGCCACTACCCGGTGCTTGTCCTGCTCCAAAGCTCTTGCTCTTTCCCTTTCCCAAAGAGGAATTTAAAGTTCAAGCTGTTCAAATACAATCTAATGCACAATGTGTTCTTGGATAAATAATATTTCTACTGCTAGTGAACGACCTGGGATGCTATGTTTAAGAAATCTGGATAATGTTTTTCCAATATATGACAGGTTTTAAACTGTTCATTTACAGTTGCATTAGACCTTAGCTGCACATGAAACAGTGATAATTGTAGAAATTTAATTATAGGACTGTGAGAACACTGTCAGACATGCATCACTGACCTGAGCCAACCCCACATGGGACACTTCCCATCTCTAATCACCCAGGCTAGGAGCTCTGTACTAGCTCTGTATTCAGAGGCATGGAATCATAGAATTTCTCTGTTTGGAAAAGACCTCAAAGATCACCAGGTCCAACTGCAACCTACTCATACTACCCTAACTCTAACAATGCTCTGTTAAATCATGTCCCTGGACACCACATCCAAATGGTCTTTAAACACATTCAGAGATAGCGATTCAACCGCCTACCTGGATAGCCTATTCCAGTGCTAAACAATCCTTTCTGTAAAGAAGATTTTCCTAATATCCAGCCTGAACTTATGCAACTTGAGGCAGTTTCCCCTCATCCTGTCACCAGTGATAAGAGACCAATCTCGATCTTGCTGTAAGCACCTTTCAGATATTGGGAGAGAGCAGTAAGGTCTGCCCTCAGCTTCCTTTTCCACAGACTGAACAGCACCACTCTCCTCATAGAGCATATTCTCCAAGCTCTTCACCAGCCTTGTTGCCTTTCTTTGGACCTGCTTCATCATCTCTGGTCCCAATGCACTTACTGGCTTTTCCAAGTGAATCTAGACCCAACTTGTTCCTCACTGTGTCTGGATCTTGGTACCTGTCACAGTTACCACCATAAGGGGTTGGTCCCTCAAGACATGGTGGGCAGTGCAGTGCCCCTCAAATGTGAGAGAGGACTTCTTTACTTTGACAGGACTGGAACAAGCTGTTGGGGAGTCTCCTCTGGAGATATTCAAAACCTTCCTGAATGCTTTCCTGTGCAACCTATTCTAGGGAACCTGCTTTAGCAGAGGGGTTGAACAAGATGATCTCCAGAGGTCCCTTCTACTCCCTAAAATTCTATCATTAGGATAAATTTGCACTCCTTGGATAAGCAGTTATATCTAAGATCTATAATAATATCCTTTAACAATGCATGGAAAGCTATGCCACATGAAACTAGAGGTGAAATTAACTAATTTATTTCTGGATAAATTATTTCTACTTATGAATATTTCAGACTGGAGAAGAAAAGGCTCTGAGGTGACCTGATAGCAGCTTTTCAGCATCTAAAGGGAAGCTACAGGAAAGAAGGGACAGAGTCATTTGCAGGTTTGTGGTGTTAGAACAAGGAGCAATGGTTTCAAAACTAAAGAGAGTAGATTTAGGTCGTGTTGTGGTTTTATGGTTTTCGGCTATCAATATTCCACATCATAACATCATGTAGTGCACTGGTAGTTAAAGAGTTAATGCTTCAGTTCTGAGAAGAAGAACTACATACCCCAGAGGACTTTATGTTCAGAGACAAGATAAAGCCCCTGGCAATGTCTCTAAATCAGGCTGTCCTCCCTTCTGCTCATCCTGACTACGTCTTGCATTATTGTAAGGCCTTTGGCTTTTGGACACTCCCTCTCATTATATTTGATTTATTAGCTCCAAATCAAATTATGTTGTATTATATTGTATTATAATGTGTTATCTTGCATTCTGATATCTTATTTAGTAAATTAGTTTGTTTCTCCTCAGGTTGTTGCCGCTGCTTTGTTTTAGTCCCATCTCTCTACCCTTTTCCCTTATCCCTTTCCAGAGGCACAGTTCCACAGGTCCCTCCACCCCTCTAGTCAAGAAAGCAAGCCTAATCAGCCCGTAAAACATTGACAGTTTGGATACAAGGGAAACGACTTTTCCTTGCAAGGATGGTGAGACTCTGGAACAGATTGCCCAGAAATGTGGTGGATGCCTTGTTCCTGGAGACTTTCAAGGACAAGCTAGCCAAGGCTCTAAGCAACTGGATGTAACTGTGGATGTCCATGTTCCGTGTAGGGGATTTGGTCCAAATGACTTTTAAAGGCCCTTTCCAACTGTCACGGAGTTGATCAGATCAATCTATGTCCATAACAGGGGGCAACAGGCCTCTGCCCCTCCCCCCTCCACCCCAGTCCCACAAAAATGGGAAGGAAGGAAGGGAGAAAAAGAACAGCGGCAACAATCTATGGAGGTAAACTTATTTTATTATAATACTAGAATACAAGATAACACAATATATACAATTTAGTTGAAATTGAGATTAATAAATCAGACAAGATAAGAGAGAGAGAGTTCCCGGGACCGAGTCAAACCTGAAAAGCTTGGAACGGCTAGGAAAGCACCTCCAGCACCCACTGCAAGGCAGCAAGAGAGCGCCCCCCACCACCCAGAAGGGTCAGATCTTGTGACTGCTGTAATGTACAGGGATAGGTACTTGGAATTGGGGCATTAACACTTCAATGCCCCGTACACTACATGATGTTTTGATGTGGAATACTGAAACCCGAAATTAAAAAAAAACAAAACAAAAGAAACCAGAGAACCATGGCACCAACTCTAAGCATTCTATGATTCTATAATACATGCTATAGTGGATGCTCAAGAAAATCAGCAAGTAGATGCTTTTGTTCATTTTCTTCATTCTCTTTTGTTTTTAACAAACCTTTCCAATTTCTGACAAGTCTCATTGTTTATGATTGAAGTACTTCTAAAAAAAGGAATGTTTTTAATCAGAAAAGTACAAAAATGAGCAGAGATGATCAAAAGAATTGAGCGACACCTAACATAGACCTTGATAAATCTGTCTTGTCCTTTTTGAAATTCTTTATGTTCTAGCTTTGATAGTCTCCAAAAATGAGCTGCTCAGTTAATATCATGTAATCTAGGGAAAAGTGTTTTGAAGTACTACCTGACTATATAACTAAATGTCACATATCCTTGATATTGCAAGATACTATTGAAAATGTTCTTATGGTTCTTCCTGGTATCTTCTGTGATTCTTTCTGTAGAGAATGCATTTTCTATAAATACAAAGATAATTTCCATATGTTCATTTGTTTGATTTCTGTGATACCCTGTTTTTCTGTGTTACTAGACTTTAAGCGGATATCTTTACTAAAAAAAAAAAAAAAAGTAAAATGTGAATTTTCTCTGAGAAGTCTAGGTATCTTTATCTCTAAGTATCTTTTTCCCATTCATTCAAGTTTTTATTTTTTTCCTTCTAGGCTGTGAAGGTCTGCTAGTCTTCTTTTTTGCCTTGAATGCATATTAATAATATACATTGGCATACTCACCCCATAACTTGAAAATATCACATAAGTACATGATGCACTAGGGTTGTTTTTTTGTCAGTTTATTCTTATTTTTCTTCCTTTTCTATTTTATACCATGGCTTGAGTAGATCTATCTAGTGATTTCTTCCTCTAATGGATTAAGTTCCGAAGAAAAATGAAAGATCTTTGAGCAATTTGGGGTGCTTTTGTTTTGTTCAGGTGATAATGAGGTGGTGAAAACATTCTCTGTGCGTACGTAGATAGTTAAATTTAAGAAATTCACAGTATTTTACTTTTAAGAGTACTAAGTCTCATCTCAACTCAGGATTACATTCTGAATACAAAAGTAGTGTTTCTCTTTAAGAAGTGCAGCTCCTGTACAATCTAATATGGGCAGAGGATAATCTTATATCTTCTTTTCTGTGTCTTTTATTTTTTTTATTATTTGCTGCATAGAAAACTGCTGCAATTTGATGCAGTCTTTAGTATTTGAATTGTTTTTAAAAATCCTCAACAGTGAAATACTATTGTATTCCTGTTGCTTTTCAACCATATCCCTTTCAGTATGCATTTTAAATATATTTTAAATTCATGCTTTCTGTTTTATCCTTAATTCTTCAAATAGTTTCTTTGCAAAACTTAGCTTTACTTAAGACAAGCAAAGTCTTCTAACACTCTGGAGACCAATCTAAAAAAAAAGTCATTTTGCCTTTATTTTCTTCTAACAGTTTCAAAAGGAAATTATACATAACGTG